AAAAGACTTGGAGCAACCCTCCCCATAAATCTCAAAGTCTATTTTTTTAAGCATCTTCATCGTTTTGATGGTGAGGTTCTTAAGTGAGTCCAATAGCCCAAGCGAAGGCAATGTTATGCAATTTTCACATCCACCCAATTCCAAAACCACCATGTTGGAGAAGCATGGATTTCCTATCCAAGATAGAAAACTTTTTGCCACCGTAATTAGTGACTGTAAGCTCTTTAAGATTTCTACGAGGTTGTAGCATGTCAAGAACATTTTCTTCAGCTGTCTCATCTCACGAAGGATTAAAATCACAACCCCATTCTAGCACCACGATTTCTAGGTCCTTTTTGTCACACAATATGGTTTCTCTTGTGTCTTGAAAAGCAGTTGCATTATCTAAACCTGAAATTCTTAGTTTTCCACGTAGAAATTTTAAATCTTTCAAATCTTTTAAACTAGATCCGATGCCTTTACCAACAATAAAATCCATGTTTTGTATAAGGTTCAATTTCGAAAGACGATTCAATTTTCTCATTCCCATTGGCATATTCTTAATTAAATTTGCACCTAAAATATCAAGATGATGCAGATTGGTCAAGTTGCCCATACCAAAAGGCAATTGCATGAGACAATAACATTTTCTTAATATCAAAACATGTAAATTGAATAATGAACTTGTTGATTCAGGTAAACTTTTTATCTTAGTGTCAGACGCATCTAGGTACTTAAGATGCTTCAAACCTCCAATCATAATAAGTAGTTCTGTGATATAGCAATTTGCTAAACATAAACTCTCTATTTTTTGAGCTTAGCAAACAACTCAGACAAAACAATATTAGTTATACAAGTTTTTTCATAGTCTATTAACCTTGATCCTAGTGGAAGAAATGTCCTCAGCTGCTCAACTCTATGGAAGACTTCAAATTTATTTTTGATTTCATAGCGTTTATGATAGTAAGAAGAGTGTCGGATCCTTCCAAATATTTTAAATTGCAAATCAAGATTCCTTCATTCCTCCAACACGAGACTTGTTTCTCCATAAATCCATTGGGCAAATCACTGACAAGGTCATGTATTACATATTTAGAATTAGTATTACTTGATTGTTGAAACATTGAACTTGATAGTAAATCACGAAGATAATTCAATTCCTAAGTCTTCTTACTGCTTGGTTTTTGAGCGTTAAACCTTCAGCTATCCATAAAAGGACAAATTCGTTCTCGTCAAATTCATAATTTTTAGGAAATATTACAATAGAAAAAATCTCTTCAGGCATGAAAGAAGATGATAATAACTTAATTTTAGAACAAGAATATTAGTTTCATCTGACAAGACCCAAATTTTGTTGCTCAATGTTTCCTTCCACTCGTTTTCACTCTGTTTAGGGCGAAGAAGGCCACCTATAGTTTTTGCGGCTAGAGGGGTAGGCCTCTGCATTTCTCTACAACTTTCTCATGAATTAATTCCAAGTTTCGACTATTATTAATAACTCCACTCCCAGATACATGCTTCTTGAATATGGCCCAACAATCATCATCTGATAAAAGTTTCAAGTTAAATAACTCATTTTGTCCCACTGTCAGTGCTACTTCCACGCTACGTGTTATTGTAATTATCTTACTTCCCGAAGCTGCAGCCATGAAGGGAGACTTTAATGTTTCCCACAAATCATAATCCTAACTCCAAACATCATCTGAAACAAGCAAAAGTTTTTTTTCCAAATATTACCTCTTTCAATTTAACATGAACTGCATTTAAATCTTGTAGACCTCATGCTGATATTGAACTTCACAGCACCTGGAGTCAAACTAGTGCAACAAGCAGGGATAAAGCTACTTACCTTGCTAGTGCTAGAGCCTGCTAGCACGATCTTCTTCCTTCACCTGACGCCGTAAAAGCTTCAGTTGCAAACTCATCTAGAATGTCCTCCGAATCATAAGCCAAGTCTTGCGGATCATCCAGCCACGTTTTCACAGCATCGTCCGTAAGTTGCTTCTCCTCTGCATATTTGAGCACTGCCTTAGTCATCTTCGATTTTTTCCCCCAGTTTCTTAGCTTTGAATCTACGCCCTCCTGACGCACAAAATTCAGCAACTCACGGGATGCCAATTTGTCGAACAGCACCTGAAGAGACGCAGAAAGGAGGAGCTCTCCCACAGGCATGGTAATTGGTTTTGTCTATCCAAAGAAAGAAATGAGAAGATAAATAATTATCGAAGGGAACTGAATCACTGACTCTCCCAGTAATATGTACAAAACTACATAATTTCTATGATGCTGATGTCATGAAACCAACTTCATGGTTAGAGGCGCTTCAGAAAAGTTCAGAATTAATATTCTTATCCTAATTACGAAAAAAATACATATTTTTCATAAACAAATAACCAAGATGCTTCCGACATTAAAGTAGTCGAATGTTATTTTGTCATATCTTTAATTTGTAATTTCAGGGTCCTCTAAACTTCTCAACAGTCACTTTTGCAAGCAAACACTTCAACTCAGCTTCATTTGTGATCATGAATTAAAAGGAGAAATTCGGAGACTGTGGAGAGCTAAAGTTAAGGGAGATGAAGAGTCTAGCCATATTTATACCCAAAATTTATATAATTTGTATACATATATGAATATTAATATTAATGTACAACTATCATCTTTATTATTATTATTATTATTATTTTTGTAAATCAAAGAATGAGATTGAAATGAACAATGGGAGGAAGGAAAAAAAAGTCTAATGTCATGGCTCCACCATTGCATTACTTTTTCAAATGAAAAGAAATATAACTACTTTTATTGCCTTGCTTTTCCTTCCTAAGGCTAGTGGTCCAGTGTTGTTTCATTAGTAAATTTTCAAGCACTGCCCAGTCATTGTAATGGCGTATGTATAGTCCACTAGGCACGCACCATGAAATTGATTTCACAAAAGAGATGATTTTTGGCTCAATAATTAGTGTTGATTCAACTTAATGATTTGATAGTTTAATGTCATCAATACATGGACAAATGACAATATATGCAGAAGGTTACGAAATGAAAGGACAGTATTGTTCTTAATGAAGAAATTGACAAATTAGAGGTAGAATACAGAAAAATCAACATTGCCAAAACCCTTCTGCAACCAAGATCCCAACAATTATGCACTCACTCCTCAGGAAGAACGACAGGAACTAGCAATTATTGAAGCCAGCGGCAGAAACTTTTATAAACGCAACTGCAGTAGGACTCAGAATCATAAAACTCTTACGAGTAGAATCTGAATACAATCTTCAACAACAATTGAAATTGTAAACAATTCCAGAAATTCATCCTTTAAGCACAGTCTTAGTATTAACTACTCACATTCGACTAAAATCATCTGAAACACGACCTATCAAGCCAAGTGTATTGTTTCCTTCTACATCACACCTTGTGTGTACACACAGAATGTAAAAAATAATTTCTAAATGATAAGAAAGCAACCACATACCAAGCTACAATATATTTCTGATAATCAATACAGTGGGCTAAGACATCACTCACATTATGCTACTTTAAATTACGACTTTCTATCAACTACGCTGCCTGCAAGATGAATGAAAAGTTACATTTTTATGTGCAATGTGGTGAGCTCTATTTTCAAGAGTTGAAAAAAAAAAAAAAAAAAAAACCGTCTAATAGAGGACACCAATAAAATGGTGTGTTTCAGCATGGTCAAATAATTGTAAAACCTGCAATATACCCATCAAATGTTTACTACTTACCTGACTTTATAACTTTGCATATGAGCTACCATAATAAATAAAACTTACCACTGACATTGCTATGTTGAAAATTTGCGGCCAGGAGTTCAGTTGGTTCCTGCACAAGCAACATAGTAATAAATCAATACTCTGCTATTTAAAAATCTAAATTTTCTTGATAAAAAATAATGTTCTGGATTTTAAAAATTGACAGACCTATATCAGCCTTTTTCATTGTTTCGAAGATCAAGCGGGCTTCAGTCTTCCTCCTCTGGATCATAGATGAACTTGGAATTAATCATAACGTAGGGGATTTGGGCTATCTTAGACCACTGTCGTCCTTCATACCTTTTGCACAGTTGCTCCAGTAAAGGACATTAAAAAATATATAGCTGCAAAAGCGAGATTTGGGCAATCAAGAGAGAGGTGAGATCTTGGAAACCCTTGGGTGATAGGTATTTCAATTTGGCCAGAAATGTATGAGCTCTTCACAACCAACCATTTTAGACTTTCATGTTTCTGAAATCCCTCCCTTGACCATCTTCTAAACACTGTAAAATTCGATTCTTTACTAGTTATGGAACCATGCATTTTCATACTTCATTCAACACTAACTTAATCTATACACTCACTGTATAGCACTAAATAATATATGCTACCAGCATCGAGCCATCGTCATCTTACAGCGTTCCATTCGGGGTTCACCACTTCCCTAAAATAGTGGAAGCCCGAGTGTTGTAGTTCGTCTACTCCGGTTACTGCCAATCATAGCCGTCTTGTCTACACTCGATAGTAGGACAGAAGGGCCAAATACAATATTGGCTTCTCCATTCCTAGATCGAATACTGATATTAGAGGGTTCCTCAGTGTTACGAGATTGTGTAGCAGAAATACATAAGAAAATAAAACACACAATCAAACACATCTCTAATGAAGGAAGACGATTAGGTAATCTTCCAGCGAGTTTTCTAACATTTTGCACGCACCAAATATAAGAACTGGATCATCAAAGCGACTACAAAAATCATAAGAATCTATTCACTTGGATTGACTCAATCAAGCCGCCACCACAAAAATCAACTCTTACCTATCTTCGCCATCAACGTTTCAGACTGAAGTATAAATATATGTAAAGAAAAGCACTTGCAATAATAAGTGGGGCATACAGAATCTTTTTTAATGTATTATCTCACACTTCTATTAAAAATTATTAATAACTATCCCCAATTATTTGAATGCAGTTCACAAAATTTACTATTTTAATGAAATCTTAAGAAATATCAATGAAGCTGGTATCAATTTTTTACTCTAAATTTGGGAAGGCATGAATACATATATGAATTACAGTGGGTACAAATAATATAAATTTATATTGGCTACATGGATGATGAACACTTAATGAAAACTTTTCATGCTGGAAAAAAGCCTAAAAAATTATTCTTAAATAATCACAATTCGATCTGATAGAGAGGACTTGTACTGCACTCAACTTCACTTGTGCTATTGACAATCTGAATTCATTCTCAACAGCTTCACTTCAACTTCAAGAGGACTTGTAGTGTGGTAAACTGTTGCCTTGTTGGGCAACAAAATCAAGGATCAATTGATCTTCGCTGAGTAAATGGCAGCGTTGATGTATCAAATCTCTCAGAGTTCAATCACCAAAACTTGGCCTTTAAAAATTCACTTTCCAGAAGGTTCTAGGACTGTTAGAGATCAGATCCTAAAGTCATTCATCTGTTCCTGAATACGAAAAATAGATAAGAGGATTTTTTTCGACTGCCTGCATCAAAGATAACAGTGTTCCTGAATACGAAAAATAGATAAGAGGATTTTTTCGACTGCCTGGATAAAAAATAACAGTGTGAGATATTGGCCATCGGAGATGAGAACATCTCATGAGCTGATGGTCTCTGTCAAAGGGGCTTCAGAGGGCTGATTTGTATCTGCCATAACAGAAGCTAGTATTTGTTGCCTCCTTTGCTCATGAGCTTTCCTCCGGTTGGATTCAAGGATTATAAGGAGAGCAGTAATGTCAGCAGGGCTTACTCCTCCCACTCTACTTGCTTGACCAATGGTTTGTGGCCTGACCTGAAAGCATGCAAATCCAAATTAAAGTAGACCAAAACCAATTGTTTTGCAGAATCCTGAAGCATTATGCACACTGAAAATGATGTAGAGAACAAATTCACGAAAACAAACGCATCTACCCAAAAGTATAGAAACAACAACAAAGTAGATTTTGCTTTCACAAGAGTACATACACAATTATTTAACCAATTGTTTTCACATTTCATTGGATCCAAACTCTCCAGCTCTTTGGATTCAGATAATACAGCTAGAAGTTGAAAATAGAAAGGAGCATAACATTATTGTGAAGTGAGATAGGGTTCGTTCCATCATTACATCCACTGCTACTTCTGCAAATAAATCCCATGACACATTTCTAAGCAGTATCAATGAGAATTCCTTGCTGAATCAAGGTTTTGTCCCTCCAGAATCTGTTTAGAGGTGTCCCAAGAATTAACTTACTAAGTTTTGATAGGTTCTGCAATCATCTATATAGAACATAGAGGTGTTTGCAACATTTATCTATACAGAATCGAGCTATAGATTAATAGGAATCTAGCAGCTTTTCAGGTGGCTTAGGCTCATAGGTTCTGCATTAAACCATGTCCCAGCAAAACAGGTCAAGGCAACATCAACAGAAGGCTCTGATTCTCATTTGTATTATAAAAAAAAAAAAAATGAATTTAGATCTCAAGACCTCTTGAAAAATCCCAAATGTAGAAACTGAAAAGAAAAAACTGTCGGCCTAATCTGTCAATTGTAGGTTATATATATATATATATTACTATATTCTCATGAAGTCCAATATCAAAATTATATATGCTACAAACCTTGGAAAGCTTCTCGCGTGCTTCCAGAGACAAAGTTGTCATTGAATAGTAATCCAAGTCCTGTGGAAGTGGTCTGTGTTGTTGATGGACCATCTACAAACAGAGCAAGCATACAGGTTTGAATTATACATAAAAGATAAGCAGAACAGCAACAAACAAGTAAATCTACACCCAAAAATTGTTTAATACAAATTCATTTCAAACCATGACAGGAGTATCATGAAAAATAATGGTGAATCCCTTCTTGGAGCCACATGAAAAAATTTAATACCCACCTGCTGGAGTTGTTGCTGCTGTCGCAGAATGAAGCCCTCATACTTTATATCTATCTCTACACATTCTTTATCCTCTCTAGTTAACTTTTCATTTCCGAAACCATGCTTATCAAGAACCTTATATTGTATATGTGGTTTCTTCAAAAGGCCCTCCAATGTTGACAAGTCCTTAACAGGCTGACTAGACAATTGAGCAACATCAGCAGCCAAATCTCCACCTAAGTAAATATAACGAGGCAGGTTAAAAGTTGTGATTCAGATATAAGGTACTAACTGTCTGTATCCAAATTTGTTTCCAAGAACAACATTCAAATGGTTGGGCATCCATAATTAAATGGGGTTCATTTGAAGTGTTCCTGTCCATTATTGTTCTGGAATAAAATCCATAGGCTTTCAAGGACAGAATGTCCTCTAACTATCCCTAATTAGAGATTATTCAAGGATAGATTACACAAACTAACTAAACCTTTGAAATTAAAATTTTTATCCATCTGCAGCAGCTCTATGTTGATTGTATGTATAGTAAAAATCAAGCCGGAACAAAACAAAATTTTCAGGTTGCAGTAAAAAGAACAAAATAGGATGTTTTGTTTTTAAATCCTCACTTGCCAAGTTCTTTTGGAACATATATCAGCTACTGGTACAAGGAAAGAAACAAATGTCAGAAAGAATTCTATAAATTGATCTCATAAACAATCCTCACTGGTATATACAACTATTGGCCACAGACAAATAGAATGAAGAATACAAACCTGATATCCTGACAGTTTTCAATCGCTTTTTCTCCTCCACAATTCGAGCTTGCTTCTCCTCGTAAATATTCCAGCGTCTATCATCTATCAACCCAATGTCACGCCCCAAAGGTGTTAGACGGCTATCGGCATTATCAGATCGAAGAAGTAATCGGTGTTCGGAGCGGCTAAGAGAAAAGAAATAGACTTATAATAGAGTTCAGATTAGAAACAAATGATGCACATAAAATTCTTGCACCACTCTTGAGTTCAAGGATAAGAAAATATGCTATGCAAGGGAAAAAATAAACTACCATTAGAACCATAACATCTAGAACTCCATTTATAGACTTATAAAAATAAATTGCAAAGTACTGATGGAGCGTCTACAATTTAATTTTAGTAGCTACATACGAAGTGATCTGTTTTAGGGCTTTTGTTCTACTTTCATGAGGTTTACTTGTTAAGGGTATTTCGAACTTTTACCTTGTTATATTAGGAATTTTGTTATGTTAGGGTTTTGGCCTCCATATATATTGGTCTCTCTTGTTTTAAGACCAAAATTGATGATTGTGGAATACTGAATATTGGTTTTCTCTCTATTCTTAACAGCATCTTCTCCTATTTCTTATTCTGAGTTTTCTTCCATTTTTCCTCTCATTCCTATTCCACCAGTCCCACATCAGGGAAGGAACTCTTAACCATATAAATATACAAAACGATAGATACAATCCTGATGTATGGTTTGATCCTCAAGAAATTCCAAATCCATGTATGTTCATTCTGGGTTCACCCCATTGAGGATAAGTCTCCCCATGAAGTCTCATATTCATCTAAACCCAATATGATGCAAATTGAATATAGAGATAATAAAAAAGAATGTATACCTCATTGTCCTAGAAATAAATCATATAAGGCATAGCTTAACTAAAATAATACATGAACAAAATTTGTATACAAACTGACATGACACAAAATGAATGGAAAATAAATATGAAAGGTCAACACAATAAAAGCTTAATGGGGATTAGTATTGACAAAAAAGAGAAATGCCACATCAGTTTGCATCAAAATTTGAAAAGGAGCATAATTTTAACTTAATGATGCTTTTATAAACACAGCATTATAGTTATTAGGATTTAATAGCTCTTTCAAACCTCTTGTTATTCTAGTGCCACAGAAAAATGTTATTGGTAATAACGGCAACAAGTTTCCCCCCAAGAATTTAGCCATATTTAATCAACTTGTGTTCTAAAACATGAGCACTAACATCAAAACAGTTGAAGCTCAAATCATAAGGAAAAAATAAGCATCAATACAGGAATTAAAGACTTAAATTAATTACCTAGTCAACATGCGGTAAGGCTCTCGAAGGTCCTTTGTGACCAGATCGTCAATTAAAGTCCCAATATAACTGCTCTCCCTCTCTAGAACAACTAGAGACTTTCCATCTGAATGTCTAGCAGCATTTATACCAGAAATAATGCCCTAAGATAAAAAGTATACACAAAATAAGCCAGAACATTACAGAGTAAATGTGGGAATATCAGTAACCATAATTTCTTTTCCACCTGGAAAAGTAACTGTTCTTTACCACCTGGAAAAGTAACTGTTCTTTACCATGTCCCTAGATTATCAACTAATCAATGACCACAAACAATTTGGGACATCTCAGCAGAGGGAATGACTATATAAAACCAAGTACCTGCGCAGCAGCCTCTTCATAGCCGGTTGTACCATTTATCTGACCAGAAAAGAAAAGTCCCTCAATTTTCTTTGTCATAAGAGACCTTGAGCATTGATGAGCAGGTAGGAAATCGTATTCTACGGCATACGCAGGCCTTAACATTAAGCAGTTTTCAAGTCCTGGCAAAGATCTCAAGAGTGGCAACTGTAGTCTCTCAGGTAGACCAGTTGAGAACCCCTGTGACAAAGTAGATAAATAATTATGGAGCAGAGCAAAATGATGAAGGAGAATGATCATAGCAACGTATGTGATAATAAACTAATAATAAAAGTCATAATTATAAGAACAGAAGAAAACTATCTAGGCAGCCCTCATTCCATAAGACAAAGCGCTTAAAATTCTATCAAGTCTACTCAAATTTGAACAGCACAAGTATACAGGTTATAAAATTGTCTCAATTTGACTATGATTAGAAGCTTAATTACTTTTAAATTAAAGAAGCCTAGCAGAGACAGAAAAATTTACTTCAAACCTGTGCAACAGGCTCAGACAAAAATATAGTAAATAACCTAAAATTCTGATCAAATTTCTTTTCCACACTTCATATTTCAACCATCCATCCACATCAGGAGAAAATTTTAGTTCCTACACTACTTGTAACACAACCTATCAATCATAAGGCCTAGTCTTAATTGAATGTTATGTATATCTAGCGATATAAAAACACTTAAGTTGCCAAAAGTGAAATTGTACGACAAACCTCAGCAGATACATCAAATTTTCAAGTTGCAACATGCAATGCTGACTCACAGAACTTTCTTATTTGGAAATCTTAGATGTATCCTTTAGTTGGATTATAAACTTACAAGTACAAAAGTAGATGTGCACTTTCATTAGGATTATACAGGGAGGCCTAAAAATTTTTATACAGGGAGAAATTGCATAATCTTGAATTGTCTGATAGGCAGACTGATGTGAGACAACAGCACTCATCTGTTCCAGAAACAGCAGAGCACAAATTTCAAAACGTGATAGAATAGGGTGAGGATGTAATTTGCACCAACTCAAATTTCATCATTAATTTGACAAGAAGCAGTTGGTCTTTCTTCATTCTGTTATCTTTAATTTTTATTTGTATTTATAATTTTCCCTCTTTCTTTCTTCTGTGAAAAAGTGGCAAAGAAGAGAAAAGATAATATTGTAGCACACCTGCACATAGAGGTCAGGCACATTACGCCCTTCAGGTTCGAGAAAAATCTGATGAGACTCTTTATCTTGAAACCTAACAATCTGAAACCGAAGAAAAAAAAAATTAGAGAAAAGGTTATATTGAAATTTCTAGTAACATCTGAATAAGAAACATTTTGACATAATTTCCAAAACATTGGAAATTGTAATGCAGCAAGATTAAATAAACAATTCTAAGAGCATTCCTACATAGAATAAACTATAATAGTTTGACATTAGTTGAGTATGTATTCAGTCCACACTCAAGTGGACATAAGGGGATGTGTTATAGCTGTGATGTAATTGCTGCCTTCATACGTATCAGCTTAAGCTGTGATAAATTAATAGTTAGATAAGAAATAAGGTGAACCTAGAAAAAGAGTAGAGTTCATCAAAACATAGACTGAAATCTACCTTATCTTCAATGGAAGGGCAGTACCTAGGTCCCTTTGCTTCAACCCATCCACCATAAGTGGGAGTCTCATGCAAGTTGTCTTTAATAAGCTGGTGGGTTCTTTTTGTGGTACGTGTTAGATAGCAGCACATTTGTTCCCTTTCAATATGATAATCAGGATCAAAACTAAACCAGCTGACCTGTAAATTATCAACACATATACATTACAAACTTCCATCGCAACAGATTCATCAATCTTCACAGTTTACCGGTAAAATAAAATAAAAAGCTAAACAATTTGTTGTGTCAAATTATAGGCTTCAAATTCCTAGAAATAATATTACCGTATGATCACATTATGAACTTTACTTCGGTGATCGGTAGTTTGTCCAATTAAACCGATAAATCAACTTACAAACATCCCTACAACATGCTCATCTAATAAAGGGCAGGAGGTCTAGTACTAGGGTTTTTCTCTAAATAGAAATGCCCCCACAGTCTAAGGCCAGCATGTAGAGCTATCTGTAATTGAAAGTGAACAAACTAACCCCTTCAAAATGTTAATAGGTTAATATAATAAATGTAACATGTTCCGGAATGGATGTTTAAATGAAATACATGTTTAAAATCAGCTCATATTCGAAGCAAATTCTGAAACATGATTTAAAATCTTGAATCATGCAAATTTAATACACTGAACCTACACATGGGATAAAATAGAAGGACCTCTTCATCTCCATGCTGCGGTTCAAGTCCTGAAAAATCAACAGTACGACAATCCACACGTGCCGGGGTTCCAGTTTTCAATCTATCAGTTTCAAATCCAAGTTGTTGCAAGTTTTCAGTCAGTCCATGTGAAGCTGACTCACCGGCCCTACCAGCAGGCATAGAAGTTCTACCAACCCAAATTTTACCACTCATAAATGTGCCAGTGGTGAGAACAACTGAAGAAGCATAGAAATTCATCCCAAAAAATGTGCTAACACCTTCAACATTGTCATTCTTTCCTAGTAAGAGATCTGTCACCATAGCCTCTCTAATAGAAAGGTTTGTAGTGCTGATGATGGAGTAAATAGAACGAGTCAGCAAAAAGAAAATAAAAAAGACCCACTTAAGACATGTGCACAATAGAAAAATAGTGTGAATCGTATAGGTATTGATTACAAAAATAGTCTGTCCATTAACATACAAAAGTTGAAAAGTATCTAATTCTTTAGTAAGTTTCATCAAGAGAAGCAATACCAAGTAGTACTACAAATTTTCTTGAACAATACCTAACCATAGATATATAGAATAGTCGAGAAGCTAGTGTTCTGAAAGATGTCAACCCATTCAACATTTTATAGTTCATGGCAGAATAGAAAACTTTATATACCTGTATTTGTTTCAATATAAGGTTATTATAAGGTTGACATTTTAAATCAATAAAACATTATTCATACGGTGATGGAGATGAGACAGTGGATTATGGGACATAGTTAGACTTTTGTACAGCTCCTTTTTATTAATACAACTTTCATAGTATCTAAGTATTTTAAATTTTCCTTTTCCATGTTATGTATATCATCTAATGTTTAGCAACATCAAGTTCCAATGTCTTTTCAGTCGATAACTTTCCGAGAACTTAACTTTGCATGACATGCTCAAATTTAAACCTGTTTCCTCTAAATGTATACTATGATATGTGCTCATCAATCAATCCACTGATTTGAATATTATGTAATCTTAAAGTCAAAGTTCAGTTCTGCAGTTATCGAGACTCAAGTATCTCATAAATTTGATAGATGTATACATGCAAAGCAACATTTTGACCTACATCATAACACAAAGACTTTTAGATGATGAGCATTGATACTTTCCAGAACCTGGGCCAAAAATAAAAGTTGATCAAGTAAACAGTAATTAGTTACTTCTCCACTATATTTTTCATTTGCACAGCATAATCTCTTTTGTCAGTTTGAGCACGCAATGCCCTAACAGCAGGTCCTCTTGAGATGTTGAGAACACGTTTTTGCAAATAGCACCTGAAACATGAAGATGGTGATTGGTTGTGCTAAAAGATACAGAGCAACATCAAAAACACGGTAAGAAGGGATGGGGTTTCCTTGAAATAAAGTAACTCAATGACCTCCAAGAAATAAAAGGGATGACAATTCAAGCTAGTGAAGATTATCAGATAGTACTAGCAGTTTTAACAAATATTAAACTAAATTAAGAATGGAAATAAAGACATAAAGTTGCAAATTAGCTAACAAGCCAAGAACACAAAAACAGGTTACATTAATCAATTCTATAAGCTAGATCATGAATACACAATGAAACAATAGCAAAGAAATCATAGCTTTCACGCTAAGGGAACAAAAATCTATTAGATGCAAATGAAGCAACTTCTCAAATGTGCAATTGCAGTCACAGATCCTATATCTCATTCAATCTTATGCACCTGGGGTATTGGCCATGTTAACACTTTTAGTATCATCAAACATACATAGAAAGTTTTTGATATTACCTATCAGCAACCTTCCCAATTTCACCACCAAGCGCATCCACTTCATGTACAAGTTGTGACTTTGCAGGTCCACCTACTGCTGGATTGCAAGGCTGCACATAACCCGTCTCAATAAATAAAAAACTTCTAAAACTTACGAGTACTCTTATCACCATAGATGCTGTGTCACCTGCCACGCAATTCGATCAATGTTTAACGTAAGAAGTAGAGTTTTTGCACCCAAACGAGCTGACGCAAGGGCTGCTTCACATCCAGCATGCCCTCCCCCTAACACTATTACATCATATCTCTCATCACTATTCCACTCTGCAAAACACAAGATAATAAGGGCTTGCCTAGTTTATGATCAGAAAATAATCTTTAAAAACTGTAATAATCCAAAAATCTAATTATAGCTGCATTTTACACTCTTTTTCACACTTTTATTATGATTTTACACTCTACTTTAGAATTGTATTCGAATTTCACATCAAATGGGCACTAAACCAACAATTTCAAAACGTCCAGGACGTGTTCGATGAAATTACCCCGAGAAACAAAACTACCTGAAGAGGTCGAATTAACTGCGGCAGAGACAAGGGAGAAACGGCGGTAGAAGTTGGGGGTACGGCGGAGATTGCGGCGGAAGGAAAGGACATGGGTTCTTGGGGAGGAGTGAGAGAAGAGTGGAGCGAACAAGTGGCGAGAAAGGCGAAGGCTGGAGAGATTGAGGTTGAAATTGAGATTGAGTTTTGTTGCCATTTGAAAGTGTAAAGGGTTTTAATTTAGAGTTGAAATATGAATATAATTCATGGAGTGAAGACTGAAATTGCCGGTGAAGGGCGTGGGCAGTGAGTTTGGAGCTGTGTGTCACGACCCGCTTGCTTGGTGACTCAAGTGGGTTGCACGTTGCTTAGTGGCTAAGTATACTTCGGAGTTAAGTAAACTTAGTGGCAAAGAAACTTAAAGGATAATGCTTATCCATCCACCTAAGTTTGCCACCTAGGGGTGCCACCTAGTGTTTACTTATGAGTTAAGTAACTTAAGGACTAAGTGTTCAATGTATCTAGACATTTATTTGAGGAGGTTTAGCCTATAAATAGGCCACCCCTCCCTTGTACATTTCATAACTTGAATCCTTTCAATACAGAGTTTATATTTTCTCTAAGCTTCTCTCTCTAAACTTTATACTTTGAGCTTGTTAGTTGTGTGAGCGTTAGGCTGCTTAACTCATTTCCGAAGGGTTAAGGCCGCACGAACTTAGCAAAGAAGTTAAGTGCGTGACATGTGGCTACAATTTTATAGTTTCTATCCGTTACTACCATGATGTGTAACAGGAATTTCAAAGATGGGCTTTTTTTAATATCCGGAGGACAAATGGGTCGCAAACGGGTTCACGGATCATAGTGTCAATGGGTTTATTGTCATTTACCATTTATTGAGATCGATTAGTATTGACTCATCTATTTCAATTACCCCCCCCCAAAAAAAACTGTTTTTTCACTTGAAAAATATTAAAAATATTCCCTTTTAATACAATTATGAAAACCTCCCAAATTATGAAAAACCCTCTAATAGGTGTTTTTTTTTTTTTTTTTTAAGTACCTTATGAACAAAGTAGATGAGTTATACTAATCGATCTTATCAGAAGGAAATAAAATAAACCCTAGTATTAATAAAGATATTAAATTTTGGTTAGCCTAAACAAAATCCATTTAATATGAGAAATAATTAAATGACACAATCTCATCACCCCTCTAATGTTGCAACACATATACAACATTTTTCTCTTTCATCTCTTTGTCAAAATGATTGGTTAGTAATTAGACTCAATCATTCATCAATAATTACTATAGGAAGGTTCGGGAGCACCACATTTTCGACTCAAAATATAACATAATTTATGAAATATTGGATCAAAATACTTTTATGGTTGAAATTCAATACAATTTGCATAATAAATGCACTTTGGAAATACTATAATTAAAATGCAATATTAACCATTCAAATACAATAATCTAAACGTTTATAAATTGTGTCAAACTTGTGTTAAAAAAATGGAAATATTTGGTAACATGATGAAAAAGGGAATCATAAAAGCACATAGATAGTCAATGATGAAAAGGGGGAAAAAATACATAAAAGAATGGCTAACCTTATTAGATCTAGTGATTTGCAAGAGTAAAGAGAATCATACTTATCAATGATATATATCCATACTTAAACATCACTTTTATCAACCAAATACATATGCCTTGCATTCTAAGCTGTGAAATAGAAATTTCTTGAAATGGTTTTTGCAAGGGTGTCTTATAGATGGCAAGAAACTCTTGAGACACACGTTTCATTATAGGTCAAGACTTAGGCTTGGAATGTAGATACTATAACAATGTCCTGCACAACCTTTCGTTGTTGGTGTTAAGATTTTCATAATATTGTGTAAATATTTTGTAATCAGGTAAATATTATGTAATCTTTTAGTTATGTCAGGTATAAAATCTTAGAATATTCTAAAGATTATGTAATATCCTAATTATGTCAGACAAAATTAGGGGATTTAAGAGATCGTATACTTCCTATATAAAGGATGTAACTCCTTAGTGATAAATCAATGAATTGAAAACATACAATTCTTCAATTAAACAGTTGGAAGGGAGAGGTGTGGGTCTAAAATATCAACTAGCCTTATATTCTGATCAATGGATGATGATAATGATGAGAGAAGATCTGTTGGACGCTTTCTGTTGATGCTTCTAATGCCACCAGTCCAAAGCTATAAACATCAATTGCATTTCTTACTTACAATTATGGTGTGTGCAGGTTCTACAAGAAAAGCTTAAGCCTTAGTGAAGCAAATATGTCTTATGTGAGGAATTTCATATAATTTAATATACATCAAACAGTTAGTATGATCCAAATATTAGGCTTAAAAAAAAAAAAAAAAAAAAAAAAAGTTATCAGTCATTACAAGTTATTTAGAAATTGAATTTGATAACAAAGTAGAAGAAGAATAAGTGATTTTACCTAGAGCGATATATCCGTAAGTGCCTGCTAATAGAGTTTTAATGTATGAGTCAACATTTAATAGTCTAGCCGTGCCAAAATCACCAACAAATACCTCAAATTTTGAGTTTAATAGAACAGCTTGATATGTCGAGATGAACAATTGATGGTGTACAATCATGATATAAGTAAGACAAAGCATATGCTACACCTTTAACAATATTCACTCTTACTCCAATCCAACTCAACAGCTTGATTTGCGTCACGTCGAACATTGAATACACTTCCACACTCTCTATGTATTCATATATTAAAAACATGCATTTTTTATGCAAACAAAATCCATAAAGTTTCAAAATGTTTCAGTGTCTTATTTCGGACAACATGTTAGCCTCATTTTGAAAGCTCTTCATGGAAGCCAGCTCCTCAATTTCTGAACTATGAAGTTTCTTCAAAGTAACTACTCTACCAATCGGTAGTTGTGCTTTATATACACTACCATAACCTCCAGCTCCAATGCAATATTTGACGTCAAAATCCTTTGATGTTCTTATTATGTCTTCAAATGCAACTCTACCATCAAAATTTCATATTGAGAACACATCTACACTCTAGGGTGATTTGGTTGGAGGTTGAGATCTTTTATACATATTCTTGCAGAAAAACTAAAACCTAGAAATCAGGATGAGAAATGAGATGAATGGAAAAATAATTGTTATAATCAAGTGAATGGCACTGTTTTGGGGTTTCTTTGCCATGCTACTTATTGTTGAAAAAAGATTCCCATAACTCAAACGCAAAATTAAAGTAAACAACTAAAAATAAAGAAAACAAAAACACAAGAATTTTAAAGTGGTTCGGCCCAATCAATTTAGCCTACGTCTGTTAGTGTATTCCCTAGGAACTAATCGTATTGTCGGTTTAAGGACATTATATCTTGTAAATGTATTATGAATAAAAGAAAGTGTTCTTATTTCATATGTTGATTTACTGCTTCATTTATATTATAATTAATATTGCATGTGAAATGTCCGGATGACATGGATCTTCAGAAGATCAGATCATCGAAGAATTCCCTACACAAGTAATGTTAATTGGGCAATAACATTGCATAGTAGGTATGCTGAATGTCTCCATTGAATATCATGTGATGGTATTAGTATGGGTGATTATAAGAGGTAAATCACTAAGACATTAGCATGGATAAACGGTTAGTGAACTATTTATCGAAATGACCGATTACGATGAATCACATGGATGTGTTCAATGATGCATCATAAGATCGTGCTAGTGTACCACTGATCCTTAGACCTGAGACATCACGGTTGAATTCAACATAGGATGCATATGGTTCATATGGTGTATGAGCATGAGACTAGTCATGTCTTGTGTAATAAGCCGGTTTAGTTATATGTTATTCACGTGCGAGGACAAGTGATGGTCAAGATGAGATTCGTTAACTCAAAATAGTCCAATCTCGAGTTCCCAAACGAATGTCAATAACATTGGAAAAAGGAAATCTCTGGCCAGAGTATAATGAATGTCAGATGAAAAGTAGTTTCATGTTGACGTGTTCCATTGTATCAATTGACAATTCGATTAAAGATTAAGTTAAGGGTTTTGACATACCATGAACCATTCTTAATCGGGATTAGATAACGAAGGGATTTTACTACACGGTACATACAATCAGAATACGTTCATTGGAGTTTACACTTTATTGTGGTTTAGGGGTTATGGAACATTGCTAGACGTCTATCATAATCAGTGGGAGTTTCGATTATAAAGAGTTATAATGAAACATATTAGAATCTGATATTTGGCCCACGACTAGATCACAGTGAACCAAAATGGTCACACATAATATCAAGTTCAAGAAAAGAGAGTAATACATATCATTGATCGGATTAATGATGTTTGGATGTAAATAGTTGCATCCGAAATAGTATATTGGTGAGAAATGATTATCTGTGAATAGCCAGCACTAACCAAGGGTAACAAGGATTTATTAAATGTTATTATTGAATTGGATTCAATAATGGGGACAAAAGTACATTGGTTTTATTTTAAAGAGTTAGAATAATTAATAGGATTAAAATTGGGCTAATTATGAATTAACCATAAAACCAAGGACTTGACATGAATGCTCTTTCCCAAGATTAATTTTAAATTGTTTGAGGATCTCCCAAGACAATTTAAAATTACGCTTTGTGCCCATGGTATATAAACCAAGTGTTATACCATTTTCATTCATTTTGCAACAATTGAAAACAAAAGGCACTCTCTCACTCTCTCGGCTCTCTCTCATCTTTGGCTTGGGTGAATTACATTTTGAGTTTCTTCATTCTCTTTTGAAGAATCTAGACTCCAAGTTTCAACATCAAGCATTCAATAACAAAAGAGTAGGTAATATACTATTCTTTTTTTTTTTTTTTAAATTGCCATTGATGTTATGTTTGTTTTCTACCTTGCATCCATCATATTGTTCATCCATTTTACACAATTTCCATGTCCAAATGCATGAATCCCAATAATGGTATCAGAGCATGTTTAAATTCATGCATGCATGTAGCATTTTTGGTGAAAAATGGCTTGGTTTGGACATGAATATGTTTTGGCTTTAGATGCAGGTTGAAGTTATTGTGTATTTTGAATAAACATGATGATGGATATGTGGTATTCATGCTTCTATGAATTTTTGATATTAGAATACATAGTTTCTTGTTCTTGAAATCATATGTAACATGCATGTATGATTTATTGCATCTTGATGCATTTTTGTTAAAATATGAATATATCTCATTCATATGATACATGCATGTGTAATGTGAGCATGTTTTCATACAAATTTGATGACTT